GGGGATGAAGGGGTAGAATTATATAAAATCTGGTGTATTTATATGTTATAGATAAATAATGTAATGGTTTTTCCCTTTTTGAGAAGAGGAGATGATCGGCTAGTATCCCTAAACTGCATCCGAAGGAGGTGGAAAAGAAGGTGATGGGATGTGTAGGATAGTTGGAAAGGAGGAAGGAGGAGAGAGGTGTGGGTAGGAGGGGAGGAAGGAAGAGGGAAGGTAGGAAGGTTGAAGGAGTGAGGGGGGATGCAGGGGGGGGACCGCCGATCATTTCTGAAACTATATTGACTAGGTTTTCTTTTTGTTTTTTAATGAAATGCACCACATTTGTATTTGTTTATATGTTCCAGCTTGCAGGACTGGCCTAGGGGAAATTTTTAGAGGGGGTTTTAATTATATTTTAATTGGATCACACTCAAATATTTCCTTTTTAATTAATTTTAATCTTGTAATGTTATCTGTGTATTTTTATTCGATTGTAAGCCGCCCTGAGTCCGTAAGGAGAAGGGCGGGATATAAATTTAATAAAAGTAAAAGTAAAGTAAAAAAGTTTATTTGAAAATTAATAAAAATTTTGCAAAACCGACATAGTAACTTAACGTTGCATTTGCCAGCAATCTGCATTTAAAATGACGTTTATTCTTTTGTGACTGTTTAATGCAAACTGCTGCTTGGGTTTCAGAAAACATTGAGGATATTTTTACACATTTAAATAATTTTGTAAATTATTCCGAGCATAAAGTAAACTGGTGTTGTTTTTGTTTTTACTTTAATTGGCATTTGTTCAGGTAAAAAGAACATATTCCCATGGTACGTACAGAGCCGGTGCGATGAGGCAAATCAGCTTGGTTGGAGCAGTAGATGAGGAAGTTGGGGATTATTTTCCAGAGTTCCTTGATATGCTGGAAGATTCACCTTTGTTAAAAGTAAGATGGAAATTAGAATGTGCTGGAAACTTTTATTTCAAATAAAATCATGCTGTTGTTGTTCAGTAATTAATTTCTTAATCTAACGAGAGAGTCAAAATTAACACCAAGGAGGTAAATATATATTTTTCTATCAACTTGTTATTCTATGCTCGTATTTTAAGAGCCAGCCTGTACTTTAATTTCTTAAAAGCTGCATCCATTGCACATTTTTAAGCAAAACTGAAAGTTTCAATGTTCCGAAGCTCATAACGTGTAGATCAGGGGTAGTCAACCTTGGCTCTTTTATGACTTGTAGACTTCAACTCCCAGAATTCCTGAGCCAGCTGTGCTGGCTCAGGAATTCTGGGAGTTGAAGTCCACGAGTCATAAAAGAGCCAAGGTTGACTACCCCTGGTGTAGATAGTAGTTTGTCTCTTGTAGAAATTGGCACGCTTGCCANCCCAATTCCAGCAACCGTTCCTTATATGCTTTAGCCTCCAGTCCCCTAATCATCTTTGTTGCTCTTCTCTGTATTCTTTCTATCTGCCTGTCTGATCTCTTTTTTGTATTCTACTATTTAAATCAAGTTAATGCTTTTTTTTTCTTACAGTCCTATATCGCTAGAACACATGAAATTCTCTACCATCTATAAATAGGTCTGAGTATTTTATGTGATAACGTTCCATACCATACGATAAATGCCTGGAAAAGTGTTTTATAATCGCCTCTGTCAAAACATTTGGTTCCCCCCCCCGCTGCATATTTTTTGAGAGTGTATGCGATGTCTTTGTGGATGTAGGAGAAATACAATTTAAGAAATATGGAATAAGCTTTGCTTTAACTACATTTTTGGATCAAAATCTAAAACCGAAATTGTTGTAAAAAGGCTGACTAATATTTTTTTTAAATCAGAATGATTACTGCATTACTTACATATCAATACCAATATCTTTTAATTTTAATTTGGATATATTTTTCTCCACGATCAGTTACATAGTAATTATCCTGCAGTGCACTTTAAAATGCTCAGCAGGTTAAACCAAGTGGTTCTTAGCCTTTAAGATCTGGTCCACTGAACTGCTTTAATGATGTCCATTGTGCTAATTGAGTGTTTTTGTGGTTTTGTTTTTCTTTCAATAAGATGCTCAGAGTTTGTGGAATTGAGTCTGTATATGAATTATGCAAAATAAACAATTCAATTTCTCAAATATCTTCAGAAATTTACCTAATACATGTAGGAGTTTGCGTATAAAAATATTGGGACATCCAACTTCGATTAGTGGATTAGTAAATTAACACTGACAACAGGGGCCTCTGTGGAAGTACAGGTAGTCCTTGAGTTACGGCCACAATTGAGCCCATAATTTATGTTGCTAAGTAAAACACTTGTTAAGTGAGTTTTGCGATTTTTCTTGTCACTTGTAAATAAGTGAACCATTGCAGTTAGTAACATGATTGTTAAGTGAATCTGGATTCCCCATTGATTTTTCTTGCCAGAAGTTTGCAAAAGCTGATCATGTGAGCCCAAGATAGTTCAACCCTCATAAATACAAACCAGTTGCCAAGCATCTGAATTTTAATCATGTGACCCTGGGGATGCTGCGGTTGTAAGTGTGAAAAAACGGCCACAAGTCACTTTTTTTCAGTGCCGTTGTAGCCAGTAAATGAACTGTTGTAAGTCGAGGACTACCTGTAGCGTGCTAATGAATTAGGACCAGTATTTTGTTGCCAGGCTGCTAGTGAAGGGTTTATTGCAAAATACATGAGAAAAAAGCTTTGTCTAATGCCCAGAATTTTGAGTCTATGATTAGAGAGATGTGAAGATTAAGCAGTACTGCATTAGTGACAACTGTACAATCTGTTATTTTAGTGGATAGAATGTAGGAACTCCCCGTGTGCATTAGATCATCTGGTAATTTAAAAAGCCATTACTGGATGCTGACTATTCAGCTGAATAACCTTGAAGGAACAGCGTGATGACAGCTTGATTGATTGCGTCGTTCAAAGCAGGGTTGGCAGAAAAGCGAGATAGCAACTTTAGATGAAAAAGCATTTTCTGCCTCTGATAAATGGAAATGCGTTCTTGAAGGTATACCTCAGTGGTTCTCAACCTTTTTAATGCCGCGACCCCAACCGGTTGTAAGTCGAGGACTAAACTGGTCGTAAGTCGAGGACTAAATCGGTTGCAAGTCGGGGACTAAACCGGTCATAAGTCGAGGACTACCCAACCGGTCGTAAGTCGAGGACTTTCCCTGCCTGGGAGCGCCGCGCATGCGTGGTTCCGCCCCCTGCGCCGGCTGAGGCGTAGCTGGCAAGCGGCAGAGACAGAGCAGGCTGACCACCAGCTGGCCCAGCCCAAGGGAGGTAAGGCACCCGCCGGAAAAGGGGGGGAAAAATGGCGGACAAAAAAAAATGGCGGACAGCCTTGCTTGGCGACCCCCGTGAAATGGTCGATCGACCCCAAATGGGGTCCCGACCCACAGGTTGAGAACCACTGGTATACCTTGACAGAGAGAAGTAATAAAGTAATAAGTAATCAAAGTAAAAGAAATAAAGGAAAGTAATAAAAGGTAAACAATTATTCTCAAGAAATAGTTTTATAAAAATGGGATATTGTGTATGAAGTATTAATCTTTTCTAAAATTCAGAACATTGCTTCCTTTAGCTGAGCTGAAAGCGGAAATCGATGCTTTCTGTCTGCTCTTTAAGTTGCATTGTAGTGTTGAGCATCCACTGTGTCTTATTTGCCACCTTTGTTTAAGTTTATTTTTTTACAATAATGCATTTAGGAGTATATCCTTTTGTTAAACCTATATTGACATAGTAACTTAATCATATAGCTTTTGATTAAACTTTTTTTTCTTTCTATATACTTAATATAATTTATATATATATATATATATATTATTTAAGTTTATTATTGTATATTAGAGTTAAAGTATGTTAATATTTGTTTGTATTATGTTTGGGTAGTTTTATTTAGATTTGGGATGCTATGTGATTATCCCTGTACTCAGTTCTGGGAAGTCCAGGGGGGGGAGGGGGGAAGGGGATGAAGGGGTAGAATTATATAAAATCTGGTGTATTTATATGTTATAGATAAATAATGTAATGGTTTTTCCCTTTTTGAGAAGAGGAGATGATCGGCTAGTACCCCTAAACTGCATCCGAAGGAGGTGGAAAAGAAGGTGATGGGATGTGTAGGATAGTTGGAAAGGAGGAAGGAGGAG